TCACCTGCGTTGCAAACCAACATGAATCCTGCGTTGCGAACCTGTGTGAGAAGGAACATTTTGTTCACATCTCTTCACCATAAGGCATACAGTACTTGCTCTGACTGTGGCTTGACCCCCTCGTGAACCCCCTGGTACAACCCAAAAATACACTAAATGACTATATGTATAGTTCATCTAGGACGTTCATCCTACTACTGTAACATGTTTTAACCCGTCTTGTCCCATATCATTCCATATACCTGTGCATATCATAATAATTAGATCATATAGGGTTCATCCAGACTTCAAACAATTTTCAATGTTATTTCATTGTTCTTTCATGTTCTTTCCTGTTTTTGCTCTGCACTCTGCGCCTTGGAGACATTGGTGAAGACCGTTTCGGTTTGAAGAACTTCATTCAACTCCTGACTGCACAGGGCTCCCGGTGGGCGCAAGTGCTGGCACATGCTGGCTTCTTCTTCCGGTGGGACGGGTCCATCATGGTTTGCACATCAAAATACTTGGCTATCATGTGTTCAAACAAGTGAGTGTAAATATCAAAAACGGATGATACATCATATTCTGTCCATCATGTTTTGCCACAAGGGGTTGTCCGAGTGTGCCGTTCTGGGTCGCACTTTGGACCTTGGCTCCCCAATATGAACACTGGGTCTACCAGTCCAGGTCAATCTACCAGGTTGCGATCTGCACACATGTTACCTCGCACATCTGTGCTACACTGAAGTCGTTTGCCCACAGGTCTCTATCCACAACTCCTACTAATCCGCCTGTCGAAACTTATATGTTTGTTTTATTCACCCCATCTCATTGAGCACAGCCACAGCAAGTTTCGACCCGCATACTACGCCCAATTCCTGGACTTCTTCACTGATCTGCCTCACGACTGACTCGGTTCTCCCCGGTTCTCCCAGCTCGCCACCTTCTCGATGCCCTCGCGCCAGTTCAGAACCTTGTTCTTGTAACCTCAGATTCAGTTCAAAAACAAATCCACCGGTCGGACCCAAATGATTTGTTGTGGCTTAGCACCCTTTCAAGCACTGTGTTCCCCTCGAAGCGGGTCATGTGTGGCATCATGCAGGTGTGGGTAGGCAGGGACCGGTCAGGCCATCCGGTCAGGCTGTTCGTAACGTCTTTTGTTCCGTCCGTAGCGATGCCAGGAGCCCCGAACGTAGCGTCCTCCTGGACGCGCGGATGTTTGGCCTACTTTTCTGCTTCGATGGGTTTGCAGGCGGCACTGCTTTGCTTTTCGGCCAAGCGACCAGCTGTTGCGATTGACTTGTCTACAACGGAGGGCTCATCAAATGAATCGCGTCGTCACGGAGGCTCGTTCCAAGGTTGTGCCGAAACTCAGCCCAGGCCATTTGATCAGAACCTGAAGGTCGGCATTGAGTGCTGCTGTGGTGTCTTCCAGAAAAAGCCTGTCGCGTCCCCGGCAACAAGAGGACCCAGCCGCCACCATTTTGGGTCTCAGTGTAACCGGAAAGCCATGGGCATTTGGGCCCTCAAGAGCATGGAAAAGGAAGACCCCAGCACGGAAAAGCATGTGGAAAATGGTCACGGCTCAACCAACATGGCTGACATAGAATGCATCGAATGCATGCTTGCGCGGTCGCGTATTTGGTTCTCGACCAATGGAGCGGGCGTGGCAAGTACGCGGGCCGAGGTCCCAGGCCTCTGTGGAACAGGTGGATGCCAGAGAAGGCCACTGAGAAGTCTTGATTCTCCGACACGCTTTGCCGCTTCCCTCCACTCCCTCTGCCTACCTTCACTGGTCCTCTCTGAACGACTTAAAGGAGGCTCTTGCTTTGCCTTTTGCACTGCAGAATGGCCAGTATGTTTTTCGTACTTCAGCGCGTCCCCACTTCTCGTCCGAACAAATGCGGGAGCCTCACCTGTCGAGATGAAAAGGTTCGACCACAAGGGGCCCACCAAAATGGTCGAGGATCCATTGATCAAGGCTCAGAAGAAAGCAAGGTCGACCATGCAGCAAAGACATGCCCTGAGGGGGGGCGGCCTGCTTTCTTAAAGCATGTGTAGTACTTTCGCTACAGTTGTCGTGTGAACGGTCCCATGACATTCAATGATAATATGGAGCAAACATGTTTCACCTTCTCACTTCGCACCTGCTTGTTGGCGTTTCCTTTTCTGCGCACAGTTGCTCTTCCTGGCACCACGGTGCCATGCCACGCAGTGACCAGATTGCTTGCCGCAGCGGTTGCCGCACGGTTGCCGCTGCAGCGATCGATGACCATGTATTGGCGATGAACATGCCGTGACACAGATGATCATGTTGTGTAACATGATAAAAGTGCCGTGAACTGTGTTGATCTGGTGGAGTTGTGACACTGATGACAAAGGACCATATCATCGATGACCATGCACCATGACGTCTATTGATGCGTATCCGACCGTCTATTGCTCTGAACTATACGCCCCCCTCTGAAGGGCGGGACGGCAGCATGTGCTTTACATACGCCTGTCCTCAAGCAGCAGCACCTGTCCTTCCTGAGCCTTGGAGCAATGAGATGAGCACTGAGAGTGTCAAGGTTCGCGAACCCCTCCCGATGCGGACCAAAACGCAAATCACCCCAGTCATCGAGAGGTAAGAAGCCCTATTAGCCTATTAGCTTTCAGCTCACCTTTTTTAACTCCGGTTTAAACTCACGACTCACGACTCTTCGATGACAACGTTTTGGCGATGATGTTCTGTTCTGAAAACTCTGAGAAATCAGAAATATCTGAAAAGAAAGATACCAACTTCAAGGCTCCAGATGAAGTCAAAGAGGTAATGCGAAGATGAAAAAGTGGGATGGAAACCGAGTATTTTGTGGCTAAAAGAGCTGACCAACGGATGCTCAAAGCAAACGCAAATGGAATAACTTTAAATTCCTTTTTCCTGATATTATTGAAAGCGTGAAGATTGCTTGGCTTCACAGAGGCAAGACGAGGCTGGGCCTCTTGAGCTTGAAGATTTGGTGGCAGTACGCAGGTGGCGAGTGCAAGAGACTCCTTAAGCCAATATGCTACATTGTGAAAACTCCTTTACACAAGACCAGCGAAATCCAAGCGCTGCAGCACTTCTTCTGTCAACGGTACGAGTACAGTGTGGTTACTCGCTCGAACTCGTTTCGCGTCACCAGCTTCGAGTGGCCCCCCGGTTGATTGAATTGACTGAGACCTCCCAGGCGTTCCGCCCACCCTGGAAGAAGAACAAGTTCGACCAGTCTGCCATCCAGTCTACCGCAACGGGCCAGGGGTCGAGAGTCGAGACCTATGAAAACACCATGAGATTGTTGGATTCAGTTCTCTATCCCTGTGGAATGCCTTCTGAAGGGTTTTCTTTGTACAATTGCTGCGTCCTTTGCAATATGCAAAACAAACACAAACTCTATGCAAGAGTTTCAGCATGCTGCAGTTTGCCACTTGCGTCCTGTTTGCATGGTGACGAGCAACATAGGGTTTCAAGAACAACTTAACTTGACCCTTAGCGCAGCATATAAAACATCTCCCGACCTCCTTCCGACCTCCTTTGCAGATCAAGCAGCAGGCGATTTCGAATCGCATTCCAGATTTCTTCATTCCTCATTTGAGGCGTGATGAGGCACGGCTTGTCCATGGGTTTGTCCATCTATTGTTCAGCAGCTTCCGACATGCAGTCTGGATAAAAACGTTCCGATAACATACGGATAACATTCGGATCTGCAAGGGGGTTTTGTTTGGGACTACAAGCACCAGAAATCCGATCCAGTTGCGACAAAACACTTGGGGCTCCTGTCTGTCCTTTTCTTATTCTTGTGGAGGACGACCAGGACGACCATGCATTCTCCTTGATGTGAAAGTGGATCCAGATCATGTACCGTATACCCTCTGTTTTCCGTACGGTTTCGAGGTATCGATAACACACGCGTAGATGCCTCGAGAGCCAGGCCTGATGAGATCCCCCTTTCCACCCAAGTGGCGCACCACAGCAACATTCGTGAGTCGTTTCTGGCCCACCGGCTGCTTCAACATGGCTTCGGAAAACGATTCGTGCAGAGAGGACAACGAGTCGCTGTTAAGGGCTAGCTGTTACTGTTGAAGAGAGGTGGAACACGGGTTGACCCAATGTCAGCAAACTGCATGAACCAAATAAAATTCAAGCAGTCAAGCCTCATGGTCCTTCATCCATGTGGCTGCAGTAAAGTACTACCAACCGGTTTGCACATGTTTAGTCTCAAGGTGTGCAGCAAAAAAACTGACAAGTTTGTTGATGTTAGGCGCCAAAGCGCAAACTGGGCTTTCAGTATCCCGAAGCCAAAGAGAATAGAGGTTTCCTTGCAAACTTGCCTCGTTCCCGTTGTCCACAGCGGAAAAGGGGCACTGCATGGATCCACTTCACTTGAGGTGACTTCACGAGAAACATCGATTCCATCGCGAGCCGCCCACGACAGGCAAACTCCTCACGTGGAGACGCGTGAGGGAAGGCCTAAAAAACATGCGCCTCCATCCCGGAAGTGGAACATGCATAAGGATCTACCCCGTATACGGATGAACATTTTTCGAAGACCAAACAGGCTGTTTTTCACTTCCATGATTATTTCAGGGAGTGTAGAATTTTTCCAAACTTGGCTAGACACCTGCAATCACGAGTTATCAACCAGGTGTAGAACGTGATATGACGTGAGTTGACGTGATATCTTTTGACATCTCTGGCCGCTCTGGCAGCTGCAACATGTGACGTGATAAGAACTGCAAGAAAAAGGTATATGCGCTCGTCAGTCACACTCCGGAATGAGCATTCCGTGCACAAGGGCGTGGCTCAAACACATCCATAAAAATGACACATGTGAGTGAACCGGAACCGGGACCATAGATCACCACTCATAAATCCACATGTACACACCTGTGGTCTGGTGGGTCTTCTCTTACGAACCACCGGAGTGCCTCCTCCATTTCCATCAGTAGAACCATCATGAACCATCCAGTTCCACCTACACACCATCCAGTGGAACTGCTGCCTGGCCCTGGATGAGCAGGATCGCCTCAATGGGATTGTTGAAAGCTCCAGAAATTGTCCCATACAAACATGGATCTTCCTCCTCCGAACAATTCACCTTCACCCAGGCGGTCTGCACCCCAAACTTCTGGAACAAGCCCAAGTGAGTTCTACTTAACTTGTCCTAAAACTATAACCTGCACTGCACACACAAACGACCACGTTCAGGTTCCAATGTTAACTTGATCGGAGGTTGTGGAGGCCGGTAGCTGCCTGCTTTGATATTTGTTTGAGTACTCCCTCCAGACAAAGAAATGCGACGATTGTCGTCAAATCCTGTGTAGGCAAATGGAGATACAATTTCTGGATGGTCTTGTATCTCCTACGAAATCCTAAATTCATGTCTTAATTGGAAATTGTCGCTATTAACTGTAGATGGACACCACGTCCCCATTCACAAGGATACCGCAGCACCCCATGGCTGACCCTGGATGGCTGGTCGGCTGGTCATCCCCAAGATGAGGAAAAAAAAACATGCTACAAGCATATCAAGCACTCAAAAAGCCAAAGATCGAACAACACAATTAAACATCAGCCGCGTTGCCAACTGACATCATGTAATTCAATGCTTCCAAACTTCAACTCTTGTCTTCTTTCAACACATGGGATCACATGGGTGCATATCTTGAATCCAGGAGACTCCTTTCTCGCCATACATGGGCCCTGGCTGGGGAGACTGGGTCGTTAACGCCTGGGTGTCGGTTTCCCTGGCACCAGAGCTATACGTTACTTTGAAGCTACTAGGAGCAAGGACGCTACTAGTAGGTCTTTGGACGCTACCAGGAGATCTTTCAAGCTACTAGTAACAAGCTTCCTTAGTTTCACCTGTAGTAACAAGAAGCTTTTAACATCGCATCTTTCTAAAATCAACTCATCCGGTCCATCCGATCTGCCCGCCCCACCGTTGATGCAGCCAAGCCAAGCAGGGCCTGATTCGGACGTCCATGCAGCGGCCGTTGGTGATCCGCAGCATCGAAATCAAACAATCTCCATAGTCGAATTGTATATCAAACGATCATCCTAACTTTAATATCTCGACTTTGATCAAATAGAATTATGGTACAATCCCCCCACCTGATTCTAGTTTCTAGAGAACAACGATGCTTCTTGGCACATCCTATGATCTACGTTTCAGCTGGAAAGCCTTCCCTCATTTCAAGTCGCCCTTTTTGCCCAGGCCATGCTGTTGGTGTGGTCGCTGGAAGTCGGCAAGTAGTTGAGTTATCGGTTCGTGTTTTGAGGGAGAGCCCCAAAAAACAAAGTGATTCGTAGGGACATCGGACATCTCCGAAATGCACCTCTCCATTTTTCTAACACAAACCTGGTACGCCATAAGGAAGTTAGGAACTTTGCCACAAGAAGAAAGGTGAGTCTTCTTAGGTCTTGCATGGTCTTGCAAGACTCACTAGCTAGTTGTGAGGTCAATGTCTTAGCCTAGTGTCTTTTGCTCTTGGTGGAAAAATGATGTCTTTCTCACTCCCACCAAACTCTGATGGTTCCAAACAAATTTTTAACTGATAGATATATATATATAATGATCTACCCCGATGACATGCAATTACTAGGACTTTAGGTCTTGCAAACAACTTCCTAAATCAGCCCACGACGACATGGATCTGCCTGAACAATGGCTGCTCCATGTTCGGCGAGCTGCCAAGGCTTTTCGCGGAAATACTCCTGCGGATGGAGAAGGTCATGGGTGGGCCGTTTCCAAAGTAATTGTATCGTTAACATGAAAACGAGGATAGTTCTAACGCCCTTACAGTAGGAGTTTGCTCCAAGCAACCTCCGTTCTAGAATTCTGATTTGCTGTTACCTTAGTTACCTCATGTTACCCCTTACTGCTGTGGTTCTGCAGCCAACATTCTCAGGACGTAAATGACAACACTCTTGCTTCATCTTGCTTCTCCAGAAGTTTAGTTCCACGGCCAGTCTGATGAAAACCCAGCTCCGGTTTCTCAATTTGCATCTCTGCCATCGATTGTCAACCAGGTGCTCTTCCCATTCGTTCCAATCACAGTTTCTTGTACCTCATCGTACCTCTACTGATTGTTAACATTGCACTTGCCCTTTTCCGCGCAGTGTAAAATATAGTTGTGTAATTGGTCTTTGGAGGTGTTTTTTTCCCTGCTGCGATATATTCTAGGCACGAGCCTGGCATGAGCCTTCCAACGCGGCCACCAGAAAGGCCACCACATTGGCCACCCCACCAGACGCGGCCCGAGCCGAAGTCCTCGATCTTCTCTGGCTGGTAGTCCCACCTGGGGACTCGGATGAAAACGATCGAACGCCCTAGAGAAGGCAGGTCCTGGTCGAAAAAATGCATGTCACGCAACAAATGAAAGAACATGGAAACACATGAAAGAACTACAGTACTTGGCCCACTTCGTACGATGGTGTCCCCCATTTTTTTCTTGTGTTTCTGATTGTTGGATGATAGAACGGCTTCTCTTCAAGTCTATTGCTACTTAGTCAGGGCCCGTAAGGTTCATCAACAACAGGTTCATCTATTAATACATAAGTTTTACAAATCAAATATTCAAGAATAAGATCCTTTAATACAATCTTTTGTATTAATTTTTGTATTGATTTACTTAATTCTTCCCCAAATAGTGCTCCGCACTAAGGGGTTCTTACGGTAAGAGTTAAGGGCCGGGTTTAGATCAGGGTTCGCGCGTGTGGTTGCGGCATTTTGCGTGGGCCGGCTTGCACAAAAGTTACTTTTTGAATTCCTCATGTCCATTTCGACTGCGCAGGCTCGCATAAAGTGGGTGTCGCGGTTTTCGCGCTTCCGGGACAAAGCTCTCGTGCAGGTGCCGTGCTCGTTTTCGGACATGAAGTGCATTTTGCGTGGCAGGCGCAAGGAATTCGACACATTGGAGCCTCGAAAAGGTCATTTTACGTGGCAGGTGCAAGGAATCGGAGACTTTGCAAATTTCGTGGCAGGCGCAGTGTTTTGTGGACGTTGCAAAAACGTTGGCAGGCGTGTGTCATTCGCAGGACTGCGTTTCACGTGGCAGGCGCAGGGAATCCGCACCATGGATGCGATATTTTGTGGTGAAACGGCTGAATTCGTAAGAGGGGTCGCATTTTTGGAATTTGAACTTGAGGATGCTTTTGCGTGGCCAGTGCAGCGTTTCGTATGACCTGCAGGCATGATTTTGTGGCAGGCACAGCATTTCTGAAACGCATTTCAAAATTTGCGAAAGCCTCGTGCAATTTGCTCATTTTGGATCTCCGATGTGCAGATTTCGTGGCAGGCGCAGCACTTTGTGAATCTCGATGCGCAGATTTCGTTTGCAGGCGCAGCACTTTGTGAATCTCGATGCGCAGATTGCGTGGCAGGCGCAGCACTTTGTGAATCTCGATGTGCAGATTTCGTGGCAGGCGCAGCACTTTGTGAATCTCGATGTGCGTGAAGAAGTTCGGAAAAGTTCTGCTATGGATGACTCAATCGGAACTCAAGGCTTGACAAGCCTCCACTTGCAGTGAACTGCGCATCCTCCAACTCAAGGCCAAAGTGCGAAGAGTTCCTCATATAGTCACTGACCTGGCAGCGCAGCTGTGCAGGCCATCAACCTTCGCGCCGCGGTGATCTGCTCCGAGATCGATGGGCGGCCTCCGGACCCGGTGTTGTCGTGAAGACCCGGTCCCACAGACGCTCATCATCGAATGGCGCTTCGTCACCCGACGCGTCCGCGGTTTGCATGAGCACCTTCTCCCAAGCCAGAGCAAGGCGATCCAAAGCCTCGATCTGCTGGGCCATCGCCGCTCGCTGGAGCTTGATGACCTGTCTCATCTCGAACGCCAGCCTGTGAACCGTGCACTGGAAATGTTCGAGGGTCGGGCACCGCACTGCTTGACGGAGCGACATGCCGAAAAGCTCGCCCGGTCACACTCATAAGAACAGATACTACACTTGATTGAAAAAGTTGAGCATGTTTCAAGATCTGTTTAGTTCATGGGTTTGAACATGTTTCAAGATCTGTCCATGACATGCTCTGTCTTTGATTGACCTCTGGTGGTCATTCATGGGTGGTTCTGTGACCACCCTTGAACAGCGGCGCGGTCCGACCGACTTCACGACCGGCTCACGGTGCGAGAACCCTTCGATCGACGACCGACGTACTCACGACCGCACTCAAAACCCCCCATTTAAAACGTCTTTCAACTTTTTCTTTTATCAAATCAATTCTGATTTTGCTTTCAATTTTGAACCTGTTTGTCTTTATGGCCCTGACACGCCAACCAACCTTGATGAACAGCTGTTTGGGATGAACAAACCGACCCACGCACGTTGACGCAGCTCGGCCGGGCCGAACGCTTCGGCTCGCGAAGCGGGTTTGGCTCCCAGGCCCAATCTTGGCAGTGAGCTCATCGTCGGATCGACCTGGAGACAGCTGATTGTTGTCTTGAAGAGAACTGGTGACCCCAAATCCAAGCATGTTCCATGCTGGCGAAGCATGGTTGCGCAATCATGTCTGTTACTTGGTTTGGACACAAACATGGTGTCTACGAGTGTGTAGAAAACAGTAGAAAAATGACACATTGTAACTCCTTATTTGCGTTGATATTTGGAAGTTGGAGATTTCCTAAGCTTGGGACAAGCGCAAACGAACATTGAGTACTACCCAACTCAATCAAATCTTGAGATGCCCATGCCGAGCTACCGCATCAATTGGTGAAAAATTGGACAACATGGGAATGTCTCCACCCACCGACCACCCTTTCCTGATGAAATCCATCACTTGACTTGAGGCAAGTCCCACTTGGAGATTGTTCCTCCAATGCCCAGGCCTGGATGCAAGTAGCATGGAGCAAGCAAGCCTCGTTGCCCGAGTGGTAGGCAACGGCCGGGCATTGCGGCAAAGGACAGCAAATACTGGGTACAATACACTGGGTTTCTGTAGTTTGCCAAATCCTCTACTGCCATGCGTATTGATGGACAAGTTCTCTTGCAGTCTCCCGTGGCAATGCACGAACAAGTGTGGCTCGTGTCCTGGAAATGCCACTGTCTATAGTTTCACGAGAAGATTTCTCCATCAACTGGACCACATATATCCGGTACATAGGGGGGGTGATATCACTTAAAAGTAAGAAGGGTTAAGTAGGATACCTCTATACATATCCTTTTGTATACTGCATGATTGCAATGGAATATATAGGGAAACCGGTAAACCTATACCAGGCCGATGGCTTCGAACCAAGAAGTCGACTGGAAGACCTCGGCTCAACCTTCCCAGCCTGTGAGGGTCACAAGGAGAGCGAAAGCAGCGAGACGTCGTCGGTGAGAGGAGCCATGATACATTGGCTGAAAAATGTATGTTTTGTTGTAAGACTATATGTATTATATACAGTGTATACATTTTAGATAAACACCCTATAGGATGCAAACCTTCAACCATTTGGTTTGATGCTATTCTAATGGTCCTTACCGAAAAACATGTTACTCGAAATTTTACTCTATAAAACCAGGTCACCCATTCGTTAAATTCGTCTTGGAAGGCCAGGGTAGCATTAATATGTTAACTGTTAAATGGATTCTGGTGGAAAATGGATTCTGGAGCTCGACCCCCCCTTTGTCCACCTCACAGCCTCACATGAAAAGGATTTCTGGAGCTCGATCACCCTATTCCTTTTCCCGCTTATGTACAGCAGCATCTACTGAGAGGACGCTGTGAGTTTCTCAGGCTCTTGTCCTTCTTTGAGGCGCAGTCTCCATACCCCATGACTAGTTCCATAAAATTGTGATCTTTGTCCTTTACAAATTGACTTTTCCAGTCCTCTTTTCATAAACAAAATCTTTTCCAAAAAACACGAAACGCGCCCGCACCGAAGGTGCCGAGGCGGTGTGGAGGCTCGCATCAACAGCAATCGCAAGAAATCCGCTAGATTAAATTCAAAGTTTTAGCTTAGGGGGAGCCCTCATCGGAGTTACGAAATGCTATGCTTTGCAGTGCTTTTTGAAATTTGATAAGAGTTGGACCAAGCATTGGCGATGCCGGGTATGCCGGCCGGTAGAGATCGCGTTATCGACATCGCGGACGCACGTGCACCGGGGACACTGCACTATTGACATCGTGAGACACGCCAAGACAGACAGACAGACAGACAGACAGACAGGCAGGCAGGCAGGCAGCCAGGCAGACAGACAGAGACAGACAGACAGACCGACCGAGACCGACAAACCGAAACGGTCAGACCGAGACAGACAGACCGAGATAGACAGACCGACAGACCGAGACAGACCAACCAAGACAGACAGACCGAGACAGACAATTGACATCGTGCGCGCGTTCGTCCGTATGTCCTGCCCGACCGAGAGGTTAACATTTCCTCCCGGCTCTGAGAGCACAAGCTGCTAGTTCCCGGCTCCGCGGCCGAGCCGGTAGGGTGCTAATGACGCATTTCCCATGTATGTCTGGATGTGTGTCTGCATGTATGTATGTCTGCATGCATGGATGGATGTCTATGTCCGTATGTGTGTGTATATGTATTCCCTTTACTCTGCGCGGGCGGCTTCGACCGCGAAGCGGTGTGAATAATACGAAACACACAAAACCAGCAGACTTTCTGTGGAAATGCATTATATGAGGGTCGGTCTGTCAAATGTAAACATTTTATACACATGGGGGATTTGTAACCTAGAGACAGCTGGATGTCAGTTCACCATTTTATAAACTAGCAACATTGTCAGAGAATGAAACCATTGTGAAGATGGAAACTCATTTTGTAAAACACACAGGTCTGTTGTTTGTTAATGTTTGTTACATGGTCCATGGTCGAGTCTAGTTGATCGTTATCCATGGCTGTTGCTGATCCTTGGTTGTGTTGGTTTACTGTATTTGTTTGGACATGTTTGGACTTTGAGTTGCGTCATGATGTCATCCAGGTTTCTTTGTTCAGTGATTCATGGCCCTGAGTGGAGGGCGTGGACAAATACAATGGGTATTGGCAAGGGGAATGGTCTATAAAATGAGTATACGCTGGGCCTTGTCCTTTCCATGACTTTTGCTTCATGCAATAGATATCCATAGATCATGTAGCTTTACAGTAGTGTTCGGCCAGTGTTTGGACATACATGTTGACAAGCTCTTTAGAACATTGCTAGCTAAAAAAGAATGGCTAGAGTTCTTTTATTTTTTGGAAAGTCCTAACTTTAATCTAAGAGACTTAAAGTGCTTATAACACAAGATTGTTGCTGCGGAAGGAACATTGTCTATGCAGAAAGGACATTGTTGATGCGGCTTGTGTGCATGCCTTTGAAGACCTTCTTGGAAACAGTCAACTCATATGTCACTGAATCAATTGGCGCGATTGGGCTACAGGAAGTCGGACCATCATCCTGAGCTTGCTCTTCACTTGTCACTCCCACTGCTGGATCTGCATGGGACCTAGATCCGCCTCAGATTGTTTGGGAGACCGGGCCTGTGTCTATTGACATACAGTTACAACTTACCATGCGGTCCAAACATGTCTTCGCACAGTCGCACCTCCAAACAAGTCTTCATCTCTTCGCGCAACAAGCCCGGGCCACCAAAGGTGAATGCTGAAGCGCACCAAAAGCTTTAGGGTCCAGGGTGGCGCGCTGAGGCAGCACCTTTCTGCCTCCTCCTGCTCCTCAAAGTCGTCATAGTGAATGAAGGTACGGCGCACATAAGTGACACCAGAAAATTGGAAAGTTCGGGAGTAGGTAGTAGGTCTCCTGAGGATGGGACGGGTGGTAGACCAATCGTCACGCCGCCATCAAAAAGTTGCTTGGCGGACGTGCGACCTCATAATTTGTCCGCTATCTGCGCCAACATCAAGAGAATGAATAGTCATAGTCGAGGTTTGGAAAATGTCCTGAGCATGTTGGTGTTGGAATTCTGTTGGACAGTTGGAGGAGGCTCTCCGATTCCAAACCTTGGTGACTTCGTCTAATGTCCATGTAATAGACATTGTTTTTCACCCAGTTTTCATATTACTATTATTAGATCTCTTTGTACATACTGTACATCTTCTTGATATTCCTTGTCACCTACCTTTTATCAACTTACAGTGCTTTGGAACTTTTCAATAACAAGTTTTAAAATATCTACTGTTTTGGCAATTCTTTGTTGATTGATCGTTATAACAAACAACTACTGTATCACCAGCTGCCCTATGTTTTTTAAGCCAAACTTGTTTGCCACATCTTGAAAACCCGTTCATATCCTTCATATATAGTTTCATGTTCATTCTAGCTTTCTGCTCTGTTTTTGTTGAATGTATTTGTTTCATGTGTTTAAACCCTTCTTCTCTTCTGATCTTATTAAAATTTGGTGTATTTCTAGTGTTGTTTTGCACTTGCAAGACTGCTGTATCCACTTTTGTTTCACCTGAAAGACTTGCAGAGACTTCTTGTCTTTATAGTCACTTGAGAGACTGTCACTTGAGAGTCGATTCTCATTTGAGGTTCTTTGTGCTACATTTACAGGCTCTAAAGTGTTTGAAAGAATGATTGGCAAAAGAAGCTTCAACCAGTAAATTTACATTGGGTGTTGTTTCAATACAACAACCATCAACAACCTTTAACCTTAGGATATTCGTATGAATAACCTAGCCTTTAACCTAACCTAGCCCAAGCTTAGGAGACTACGCCTCAAAGAAGGACATCTGAGAAGATCACACCATCCTCTCAATAGACGCTGCTGACGCTGCTGCATAAGCGGGAAAAAGGAAAAGGGTGATCGAGCTCCAGAAATCCTTTTTATGTGATGTGGAAAAAGGGTCGAGCTCCAGAATCCTTTTTCCACCAGAATCCTTCTAACAAGATCCTTTCATTATTTATATATATATATATGTGTGTGTGTGTTCATACTAGAGCTCCCCAAACAAAAAGAAATGATATGACAAGTCCAATAGCTGCTGGGGATTCATCTGTCATTCTATGTCATTCTTGGTCGGGTGAAACTCGATTGAAGAGAAGTGTGTTATGTAATTTAGAAAGGATTGCGTGTAAATGGCTGTGGAAATCACCTAACTGGTTCGTGATGCACTCCGTGGATCACCCCCAGACTCGTCTTGTGTCCCTTCCATATGCACTGACACTGTAGCCAACAAACAAAATCCCTTATGAAAACTAAAAACATATGAAACCAAAGTGCTCACGGCCATGCACACACACAGGTAGACTCAAATTCACGCTGCTATCACGCACTCTGTGCCAGTCCTAAAAGGAACAAGCGATATTCCATGCAATTGACCACCCAGCCCGCCCTTGCAAGTTCCGACACATGCTGACACATGCTGACATATCAGGGTCACGAAACCAAAGCATTGATGGGCAAATGCACTCATTGGCTCAACTAACTACTATAAACGATCTCCATATAAACCACCAAACGTATCCAAACGCCTTTGAATGTTTGGTTATTCGCCACTTTTGGACCCAAAAGTCATGGGATCATAGCCATATAGGGCCTTTCCTCCCTCAAAAGGGCACAGTTCACCGTTGGCAGCGTCTTCCGCAAGAGCTGCGTCTTCTCTGAGATGCACGTGGCATCAGATACCTCGGTGTTCCCACGAGTCGACGTCTTGGGCCACAGGGAACTTGCTCAACATGCGTTCGCAACAGGGAACCGCGGGAAGAAGGTTCATCGGTGGGATCGACTGAACATGGTAAAGAGCGCGCATTTGGCCGGAAAATGAGCGCCCCTTTTTCGTGGCCCCTTTTTCGTATGACCAGAGCCTCATGTCTCGGTGGCCCCTTTTACGTGAATTGGTGCAACCTCCTCCCCGGCCCAAATCCGAAGCCTCCAAAAGCAAGGACGCTACTAGGGGCTCCTGGCCTCGCTACTAGGAGCAAGGACGCTACTAGGAACATGTGGCCTTTCCACCTTATACGCAGGCTGCGCTCTCAACTCTGAGTTCTGGACCAGCTCTTTTAAGGTCAGGCCTTTCGTCGGACCGAGTCGAAGTGTCTGATGTTAAAAAATAGAACATGGCTCCCATTTGGAGATGTTAGTCTGGCAGCCTGGCAAATCTCTAATTAATCAGTCCGAACCCTCTGCGCAAGCAAATCTCCCACTCCCCTGCAAGGGCAGGCAGGCTCTTGCTGTGCTCCCACTTCCTGTCCCGCGACTTTCCCACCCAAATGGCCCAAACACGATCGTCGCCACCCTGATCGAGCGTGCCTGCGTGCAAGGAGACCGCCACCGCCGCTGTCAAGCTCAAATGCTGGGCACGAGAGATGGCAGAATCAGAGGGCAAGAGAGATGCTCCGGCCACAAGAGCTGGCTGGCTCCTTGCTTTTTGGTTAGACATGGCTGTCGGCCATGTCCCTAACTATAGAATCTAGTATATAACTATGAGGTCATTTCCTGTATTACCCCGCATAACAGTTCGTGATCAACAAATCGGTACAGCCAGCCCAAATAGGTCCAAGGGAATAGGGAGGCTTCATTCCTCCTGAAGGTCCAGCCTGGAAAATCGATCAGAAATCATGTTGTCCAATGTTGCCCAAAGAAACCAGCTTTGGACACGACCCGCACGCATTGATGCTGATTGTCTGAGCCCAGGAAAACCATCGCATCACGCCGCCTCAAAAAAAAAAAACACAACTGCCGCGGTAGGGCCACCACCACACGGTGTGAACTTGAAAACCTAAAACATACCGAGGAAAATCCCAGGAGATTTACCAAGAATCCTCCCAATCAGTAATATATGAACCAAGTCCCCGAAATGGAAATGCTTGACCATGAAGGTAACAAGGGGGCGTGATTCATCAACAAGCAACATTTGACATGGAAGTGCATGATGTGGCAACCCTTTGGGTCTCCTGTTCCTCCAGACTTCTGACTTCAGCCGTTCTTCCAATCCCAGGACTTGAGACCGATTCTAAACACCGCCAACTCACCGCCGCCTCTTCGGTTTCTTGCAGGCAGTCAACAGCCGTCAAGAATCCTCGACTGATCGATGCCCAGAGATACCCGTCTACGGTCTGCACAATTTCAAGTTCGGAACTTCACTGAGTTCGGCCACATAAACTCAGTAGCTACTCTGACAGGATACACCACTTGCCACTCCCAGAGAGTTGTAAGCCCAAGGAGCTCAACGAGCCATCTTGTCACAAGACTTTCACAAGCGAATCGTTTTGAAACATGTGCTGGACATCATGAAACAGCATGAGCTATCATGAAGCTATCTAATTCGAATCCATTTTGAGGACCTCCAACGGCAGGAAAACCATGGAAATTCCCCAATTCCACCCAAGCTGCTGCAGCAGTCGAAGCAATGCGCAAGCTTCTGGGTGAGGCCCTGAGTGGGGCCGCGCTGGGGCTGCCTTCCGCTTTTTCGCAAAGGAAGGTCCGCCCCATCGTCCGCTTCGTCCGGACCATGTCCAGTTGTTCGAGGTCTATGTAGCTCAGGTCTAGTTTTTCGTCCTGAGGCCCCAAAAGGCGGTATGCACACTGCAGTCATCAGCAACCCTACGCCTACGCAGTATGTCCAACACATCTATATACTTCCGAAAGCCCGTGTCAGATGACATGCTGGCACATGCTCACCTGGTTGCTCTGATCCACGGGCCCTGGCTTGACACCAAAGCAGCACGGCGTTCCATGATGCACCCCATGCCCCCTCTGTGATACGGGTATATAGTAACTCTGGGTTCTCGCACAGTCAAGAACCAGTTGGCCAGTCGGTCTTTCAGTTCGTCGTTGTTCTCCTCAGATGACTCAGATGTCATCACAATGGACTCTAGCATCTTATCGTGAGCAAGCCCTGCGCTCAACATCTTTGCAGACATGTTTAGTCGCAGACTTCACATGTTGCATGTTAACATAGGTTGAGTCTGTTAGTGTCTGAAACCATTTTTTTGCGATGCAGGGGCGTAGTGCTGTGAATTCCCGGCCGCACCCTCAGAGGATTCCAACGTCCAAGGGGCGACGTCCATGGACTTGAAGTCGGCGGCGGACCACGAAGGGAGCCGAATGAAACCTGGAAAAGGACAAACATGAAGAACTTAACATTGTAACAATGTTTGCTACCCTAAACCTGAAGTGAACAAACTTGCAATGAGCTTTAGGGTTACCCCACTGGCCCTACTTTTGAGCCGTAGGCAAATGTGCCAAAGGGAGTTGTCGACAAGGGACATTGAAGTACAAATCTAGAAACTGACACACAGGAGCAGTCTCAAGAGTGGTGTGTCATTAGTATATCGTCTCGCCAATAAATAGACCATTAAAGTAAAGAAACAGTGTTCGTTCTATATCTTTTCGTGATGTTTTACAAAATAGACTGATATTTGTGCCAATGAGAAGGGTATGTTGTTGATTGTTCTTTGTGTATATTATATATAAGTGCATATATATATATATACACATATTTTTTATACTATATTGATGTATATAATTTAAACTGTGCCGCTTGTGTGCCTGCAAAATCTTAGAGCCAATTTGTCAAACTCTGCAAAAATGCATGCAACATGAACGGAGATTTGAACACGAAAGCACATGATCTCACAACCCCCCTGCACTGCCTTTGCAAAGGTTCTGGGCGATGGGTAGTTTTTTGTAAACGTATTTTAAGTACTAAGTAATTTATTTGGGTGATCCATAGCGTACCGCAAGCACCAAGGATATAATTATGTGATATTATGTGTGTCTATCCTCAAACAACAACCCCACCGTCATCAATAGTCCATGAATTACTGGTCATGTCTTCCCTCGGACCACTCTCTCTCTCTCTCTCTCTGTCTCTCTCTGTCTCTCTGTCTCTGTCGATTTTCACCCAATTCACTTGTCACCAACCGCGGACCCCCTGCAAGCCTTCCTGAACCAAGTTCATGGCTTTCAGCTCACAAGCTTCTCCGACCTCATGCCACTTCGGGCGCTGCCCAAGAAGTCAAGCACGCCGAGAAGGAGCTGGTCATGGAGAGACTTGCGGCTTGAGACACAGAAGTCAATTCCAATCCATGGGAAGACCTTTAGAATGAGCCTGTTGGACCTGGTTGGACCCTGTAGAGGTCGATCGATCGACCGCAGTAAAGGGCACCTCAATGACCTCAGTAGAAGGGGAGGGCCAGGCCCAAGGCCTACCCGCTAGCAGTCTTCCAGTCAATTCCTTTCTCCTTGTGTTTGGTCTCTGACCTGGCAAATGTTCTGTATCGTGGCCGACTGCCGAAGTCCTGCCCATCCAAGTTCACAAGAACCAACCGAGTTGGTTTTTCCGCACTGACCGAGTTGCTCGTTCGCCCAATCCACTCTGACCGCACCTCCCCTGTTCTCTGTGGAACCTGTTTTCAGGTGTGGAACCTGTGGAACCTGGGCTCAAACAGTTGGCTCGTGGCCCCTTGCAAAGCCAAACCGTCCACTGATACATGAGATTGTGTGGGAATTGTGTGTGTGTGCCTTTCAGTCACATAGCAAAACCTACGACAGTACGTCCTTCCACAACAGACTCAACAGTCGCTGCCCCACCAAAGGAGGTCTGTATTTAATATCACGTAGTGAAACATGTTAAAAGCATTTGGCCCTTCATCAAGCAAACAGTATTTCCTTCGTCCACATGTCCATCTTCAATCAAACACAACTTGTCCTCGAAGTGTCCTTGGCGGATTGACTCCTGAGATTCATGTCGCTTGTCGCGTGCCTGGGCTCCACACCGCTTCAATGATGTCCTGTGTGCCGCAGCTGAATGGCACAAATCCACTTAGGTATACAATTGCCGCATGCCTGCTCTTGGTTTATTTAAGTTTCCTTGGGGACAGTTCTGCGTGGGGTCCCCTACTAATCGAAGGCAAAGGTATACATTTGCCTGCGCTTTGGTTTGAGAAAGTGTGGCTATCGGGTTTCTCACCATTCGTTTCGCAAAAAAGAACAAAAAACTGGAGGCGCTGGAGGAATGATAACTGATAACTCGACTGGCACCTGAGCCAAGACCGGTGGTCTCGGGTGTCCTAAAACCTCTGTTTCTTGCTTTGGGAAACTTTTCAGAGCCACCTGGCACCACCCGAGGCCGTCGGCCGGCCACCTTCGTCCGCCGCCGTTCACGCCCGCCTTCTTCAAGGCACTCCGCGCCTCCGCGAAGAGGTCCTCAAGCGAAGGCGCTGCGGCACCATTTCATTCGGGGGAAGTCGTGTGTGGTTTGTACTTGAGATATCTTGAGATGTTTGTCTTCGGAAGTGGCCACCAACATTAACAGATCAACCAACTTCCGGGTAGATTCACATCGTCTCTTTTTGGTGCGAGGTGCGCGAGGTGCCTTGCGAGACCGAGCCCTCGGACCCGAAGCTGGGACCCCCGGACCATGCTGGGTAGCTCAGCCTCAAAGGTCTGCGCCTTGGCGCCGAGGAAGGGCTGCGCCCGAGGAGGACGAGGAACGAAGTTGATGACCTAGTGGACATCTCACACCCGTTTGGGGTTCATCATGACCGCCGTTTGGATGTATTCCCCAACCTGAAGATAGCACCAGGCCAGGTGGTACAAATCACAATCCCCGCATTTTCCGAAGTGGATCCGGGTCCAGATCCGTGTGTCTTGAAACCTCCCTTGGATCCCACCCAAGACAAGCTCACATGCACAAAATGAAACCCCCACCAACGAGTATTTGGAGCTGTGGCGCAAGAATCGAGCAAAAAAAGGCAGTTCTTGGAGGGCCAAGCAGCTGGAAACTCCGAACATTTGGAATCGAAGCTGACTGCTTGGCCAATGCCCATGCGATCCACTTAATTGGTCGTCTCAACTTTCGGGAGTGGCCGCAGACTTCTATCTGCTGCGCTGCTGGTTGGATCAGTTGGTGAATGGCCTTCTCCACCAATTCATACCAGATTAATTATATTGATGTAATACGTAGATAGGATTAAAGAAGCGGCTAGAAAAAAAGGCAAAAACAACTTGGGGAAGCCAAGGGAACTGGTGGAACCTTGTCGCAATGAGGCAAAAGGAGAGGTTGTCTCAACCAAAACTAAAACAAATTACTGTCGCTGCGGCTCAGAGTGAACTGAACGTATCACTCTGCCTCACAGGGCTCTCCGCCCCAAAACGCCCAGGCGTATAATATGATATATGATGTGCTGTTCACCACAAATACGCCCTGGCAAATATCCATCTATCATAGCGTTGAGGAGTCCAATTTGGAGTGTTTAGATGTGTTTAGTCTTAACCCACACCCCTCAGAATCAAGGACTCCTCAAGCCGGTGAAGCGTTCGGGCCCATTCAGGCCCCCTGCGCACCGCTCCGCATGCATGGTCTTACCAATTCACCGGATCCCAGTTCGAAGGGTCCCACTCCCGCGCGTCCCATTCCCGCGCCCGGCTGCAGTCCCGCCACCCATTCCAGTAGTAGGACATGAGCGCCTTCGGGGTTCCACGGGGTTGGGTCGAGGTGTCCAACGACGGGCGCGTTCTGACCAAAACGCACGGACGGGGGGGGGTGGGGGGGGGGCCGTGGGGGTCGGGGGGGGGGGGGGGGGGGGGGAAAAATGGATCTGGTCAGAGTTGCGCCGACCAATGGTGAGTCCGTGTCAATATCTACTTGCTTGTTCTGAACACGTGTGGCATCATTCACGAATTGCCACACGGATAAAAATGAAAACAACATAACGATCAAACTTTGTCCCAGATTTCCACCCATACGCCCATACTCATACAATAGATTTCCTCCCATACTTGTCAAATGTCTCTTCTCGCCCTGGACGCTGGTGGTTTTGAGAAAGGATCAAAAAGCACCCCTAGTCCCCACCCACTATGCTAGTGCTAGTTGCGGCAATTGATCATGTACTGAATCAACTTGTCCATAAGCCTGCCCATCTCATCCTCTTTCCCTCCCTGTTGATGATTCCTGTTGATGATGAACTCCTGAACCACCAGGAAGCTTCCACCATGTCGTTGCGTTCGGCAACTTGCTTCTATGACTGCAATCCAACTACTGTCCCAAATTCTCAACTACTGTCCCTTCTTCCTGTCCCAAAACTCGTTAGACTTCAGACCAACAAAATCTCATGCTCCCCAATGCTTCGCCAACACGGCCATGGTTCCTCCCCCCGTGCCCGCCGTGGCCCCCGCTCGTCTGCCCTTTCGGACCCCAGACGCTGGGGACCCACCACGTAGGTCAAGGTCTCGGCCACATGTGTCACCTGTGGCAGCCAGATCGTATGAGGACGGCTGTGGAGACACCCACGGCTCGGCCCACGACCATTCGCGAGGAGGGTGAGATCGAAAAGTGAGGTGTTGGGTGATGGAAGAATGTGGATGAGAAGCAAGCTACGAACAACTGTAGCAGGTGTCGTACTGTGAACATATGTGATCCTCTAAAGTTGTTCACTGGCTCTCTGGCCGATTTTTCGCAGGGCGGGTCATAAGTTCCTCGGTTTTGAGAAGTACTTCAGGTCACAGAGAAGAAGGTCAACGGGCCATGGGTCAACAGCAAAGCGGCTGAACTAGTAACTAGTTTCATTGGTTGATATTTGGTTGATGATTTTTTCCGGTCGTTCCAACTACAGTAGTTCCAACTCAGCAAAATTGCCCAGCCGGGTTCGTTTTCACCCACCTTCTGAAACCTAGATCTTATGAGCTGACTTTTCACTGACTCCGGCATCGCTAAAAGATAAAGGTGAAGTGGAGAACAGGTAACATAATGAAACATAACTTTCAACCGGTTCTGGTTTACCGGCAACACCAATTCCCAAAAAGTTATCCACTTTTCCTGGGCAAGATCATGATACAATCATCTACGGGCAGTGGTCGTCTCAGTATCGGAGAGGCTGAGCGATCTCTGGCACCGGGGCGCTACTCACATTGTGGAACT